ATAATAATAATAATAATAATAATAATAATAATAATAATAATAATATACTATGTAAGGGCACATTTGAATAACAATCCCCTTGTTTTTTGCTATCCAGCAGAATTGAGGGATCAGAATGGACATTCTTAATGTAGCACCATCATAGAGAAAGTCAAGGGCATTATTAGACACGTATCAAAGTCCACATACCAGTAGAGCTTCTACAGACTCCTGACCTCAGCTCTTTTCTTTCTTGGAGACAGTTCCTGATCACTGCTCCTCTCTAAGCAAGATGTGGCAGGAGTAAGGAGAAACAGATGCCCCCACTCTGTCTTCTTCAGATTGTGATTATGCTGAAACAAAAAAAAGATGTTGTTAGACACATTTAGGAGAAGACCACTGAGAATATCTTCTTCAGTACTCTCCCAAACCAGTATCTAATACCTAACAATACAGCAAGAAATAGCAGGATTTATTGGGGCTTGTTTCTGTAGCATAGAAATCAATGGCTAATTTATTCAAAATTGCTTAGTAGTCTAAACAATCAGTAAATAAAAAAGCAGATTATGGTTTAAAAAATCATTGGAAAAACAATTGGAAAAAATAATTGGATCAACTACTGCCAAAAGATTCTTTATAGTTTTTAAATCTCATAGTAGTAAATATTGATTCTTTCTTTTAAAGACTTAACAAGAAGGATACTGTGAAGCCTGATTCTGTCATCAATTTAAACTACATTCTAAAAATTCTTGTGGTACAAACTTTTTTCCACCAGTTCTATGCACATATTGATAATATACTGCTATGATTAATACAATTAATACATTTAGACTGCCTACTGGGTGGACTATATATACTATTCTGAGAGCTTTTGTGACTCATGTATGTTTAGCATTTTCCCTTTGCTAAAATAATTACTCCTTTTAGAAAGCAAGCATGTCAGGGAGTTGGGCTATTCCCTAGCCCTGATGAATTCCAGATGCAAGGATGTCTTTGAAACTATTCAAATCTATAAAACCATACCTGGATCAAGAAATGGTCTAGACCAGTGTTTTTCAACCTTGGCAACCCCAAGATGTGTGGACTTCAACTCCCAGAATTCATCTCTCAGCATGCTGGCTGGGAATTCTGGGAGTTGAAGTCTACACATCTTAAAGTTGCCAAGATTGAGAAACACTGGTCTAGATTGGTCAGAAGGGCTGGATCACATAATGGTAACAGCTATATAGTTTGTCTCTTAGAATACTGGGTTAAAGTTACCTTTTGCTGTTTTCTCTGTGTAATTTGTATATACTTTTATTAACCCCACCCAAAAAAAAGGGGGAGGGAGTTACATTCAGCCTTTCAAAGTTCAAGTCCTAATTAGACATAAAGCATACTTGCTTGACTTCCTAGCAGAAAAACATCCCAAGCTATGGAAAGGTCATTACTCATTATTTTCAGTGTGCCTTGAAAGATTCATTTCAGTATGCATGGAATGAGTCCCAGTGGCTCATATCTATTTTTTTCAAAGCTAATTGCATAAATATTCAGTGGGTTACATCTATATCTATCTACATATATATATCAATTTAAAGATTAATCAGTTCAACTGACATTAGTGTATGAATTCTATTTTTCCCATGGTGAACCACTTTAGCTTCTCCTCCGTATTCCCTTGTTCATTCTCTGTGATAATAATGAAAGCCTTCTGAGAAAAACCACAAAATGGCCTTCATACTTTTAAATATTTCCTAATGGAGATCTTATAGATAAGAGTGGCACTGACTGCATGTGATAGAAAATCCTAAAACTGACAGTTTGACAGAAAGTAATTATAAGAAAGTGGAACTAATTGTTCCCTTGAAGGTAATAGTACGCTTTCCAATGCTACCATTATACAGCAGTACTCATAAATATTCTTGGTGCATTCGTTCATTCCAGTTTGCCTCTGTAGTAGCAGTTGTGATGTTTCCAAGGTCTGATGCTCACCTAGGGCATGTTCTTTTACTGCACAGGTATAGCAATTTATGAAGGAAGATTCCCACAAGATGTAATGGGGGGCTCGTCCACACATACCCATCAACGTGCTTTCCTTTGGTCCTTGAGATGGGAAGAAAGCATGTTGCTCTGGAAACCACTGCCCAGAGCACTCCTCACTGCATCTCGGGAATGAGACCAGTAGAATTGTGACCCTCACATAAGGGCAGCAGATTGCTGTTCCTGCTACTACAATCACTCATCCTTTGATGACAGAGTGCAGTGGGGGTGAAGGACAGGAGCTTGGCACTTCTCCTTTTTGTCTCAAAAGCCAGATTCTCCAATTCATAAATTTAGTGTGCACATTTACCCAGAAAGAGCATATGTGAACATGAACCAAAAAAAGGAAATAATGAGGTTCCATTCGGATGGAAACTCAAACCTAATGCTTCAGTGGAGTAGGGAGGAGCTTGCTTTTCCTTGAAGTTACCATTCCCAGCCCACTTTCTTCCATTGCCTCCTTGTACTTTTCTGCTGCATTAGCTTACATCAGTCTCTTCATTTAGATGAATTTAAATGAAAGGTCTTCCAGGAGGTCAATACTCCCTTTCCTGCCCCCTGCCAAAGGAAACTGTTATTGAACAAGTTTCTGTTCTCTCTAGTAGCCAAAACTGTGCCCTGTGGTGGATAGGAGAGGCAGTCCTGAACAGGCCAGTTGGAGCCCAGCAGGTCATTGATCCTTCACAGATTTCTCCTCTGTGCAGCATAGAATATTTGCATAGAAGATATTTTTTCTGTTTTTTTTATGGAAAATACCAGTTTCATGATAGATCCACTTGATTTGGCTTCAGCCTGCCTCAGGAATAGGCTAGTACCAAGATGGATGCTGTGTTGTGCAGACACGTCCTCAGCAAATGGTATGTTTGTTGTCTCTGAGCCAGGCAAGAAAGCTTTTGATGAACTCAGTGTCCTGCTTGATCTCTCTTCCCGTCACATCAATTTACATGGGAAACTGTACACTTAGGCAATGCACCAGGACAGGGGCTAAAAGGTATATGTACTCCAGAATTTATGTAGGAAAAGAAATTGTTCTGGACTTTTGTTAAATACTACAAATAATGGGCACTGAATTATTAATACGCATAATATGGGCCATTGTGCACATTCAGCTTTGCTGATTGAGACTGTGCAAATAATCTTTCCATGACCAGAGAATTCAATATAGTTTCTCAGCAGTATAATCCCCCACAGGCCCTGGGGAATTCTGATAGAAGGTATACACACACACACACACACACACACACACACATTTCCTAGACATTATACATAATCTTCAACAAGCCTTGGGAATATTTTATTTCTCCACTATACTTTCTATCAGCGTATAGACATTCTGCAGTTAGTATGATGGTGTCCAAGAAAAATGACCTTGGTTTTTTGTTCTGATTTATTGTTGTATAATCTCCTCAGACCTACTTATCACTTATTCAGTGGCAAAAGGAGGTACCTGCAGCCTTTTCATTCTCTTGCTGATCACCTAGGCAGCACTAGGAGGGTCCCAGGAGGGATATACAGCCCTCTTCTTTGCCCAACAATTTTGACAAAAATCATCCCTCTTAATTGGTTGGAAAAGAAGATGTAATCAAACCCCTTTTCTTCCATTTCTCTGCATCTCAGTGTCTCCATTAATTGCATAAACCCACTGGATTTCACACAATTTGAAGAATCAGGTTACCCACCTCATTTAGGTATAAAACACATGGTACGTTTCTTGGAGACCATGCATATTGACTGGGGAACGTGCATAAACCAAATGGCAGTTTTATTTATGTCCAGTAGTAGACTATTGCTTTCTCATCCATATCAATTTCTCAGAGGCTATGACTGGTGGAGATAGAGTTCTTGAATGTTTGTCTAATATAGAACATTCAAATACTTGATATGTTTATCTGATATATTTTTTTTTCTCTTTTCTTGGCAGATTAGTAGAATTGTCATCAATAGTTCCCATCAATGCTCACTGGGGAGTTATTTCCAAATGTCTGGCCTATAGCAAAGCTGTTTCAGATCCCTTTGTTTATTCTTTGTTACGACATCAGTATAAGAAGACATGGAAAGACATAATAAATAAGATGCTGAAAAGAGGCTCAATAAATTCATCAGCTCTCACAAGTGAATCACAAAGTCGAAATTTTTTGCAAGGGAATGAATGAAGAGGCAAGGATGAACTATTTATGAAATGTAGCATAATGCTGGTGAACAAAAGGTGAGGAATGGTAGGCTGGCATCTCTGGGATCATCAGCTGACAATATTTTGGAAAGCCTACCTGTTAAGTCTTCAGCAATGTAGGTAATTAATTTCAAAGCAAAGTTGGATGCCTTTTAATTCTGATAGCCTACAAATCTCCTTCAGCTTCATGAAATATGTATATCCACATCCACAAAGACAGAATCTTGTCTTTATTTAAACATGGGTTTGGTATGGATTATGGTGAAGGATGGTGCTTACATGCCCACCATCCCCTTGAAATATAAAAACACTGGACAACTTTGTGACACTTTTGATGTGTGACAGCAAATTGACACCTGCTAAAATGTGACTATGTAAACCACATGATCCATTATAAATAGACATAACTATTCTTCTTAAGATATGGCCATATGAGGTCATACTTAATTGCACATAAACCTGTAGGATCAGAATCAGGATGTCTTCTCCACAGATTTTAAGTTTGAGGTACTGCTTTCGCTATGTGAAAATACAAGAAAGGTACTATTATAGGGCCATGACTCTGCTTATATTTTTAAAGTGATGTTCATGCCCCTTATATACTAAAGCATTTTCACACATCAAAAGGGAGATAGTATGTGGATTTCAAGTATTAACTACACTGCTTCACTATTTCCAGTCCAAGATATAGAAGCTTTGATAACCCACCATCTCAGTGGTTGAGAAAGACCACCTTTCTATGAGATAATATATTCTACAACCTGCATGTGTCCTTTGGAGGACAAGTCTAGTCTTTTCCTTCTGGTCTATCTCAATTGTGTGCTACACTAATATCCCACAAGCGAGAAAGCTGTGTTGCATTTCACCCAAATTGTTTCCATATTGCAATGGTTTTCTGACTGTGAAGAATACCTAAAGTGTTTTGCATTAATGTGAGTCTGCAGTGCTCTGGCTAAATACAGGCTGCTGGCGGTCTAGAATGTAATCTTCTTCACAATAAGAGTCATTGTGAACATTGTGTTCTGTCTGGTCCTGAAGCCCTGACTGGCAGCTTCAAGAGACGTATACAAAAATGTTGTACAGGACTCCTTTGTCAGTGCTCAGAACTGGATCAAAACATTTGCACAGATTCCATGCGGACAGTTCTATGCGCTAATTTTATTAATTTAAGAAAGTATTTATGTTAAAAACAATGTATGAGAAAGATGTATTTAAGTCTGAAACTACCCTCAAATGGATCTGAACAACATTAGAACATTTCTTTCCAGGGACTGGAATGCTTAAACAGGAAGAAACGTTGGGAATTTACTAAAACTAAATTTCTAGAATAATAATAAGAAAACAGATTCAGACTGAGTCATGTAAAATGGAAGGGTATATAATTCAGGTATTTGTGGATTCTTTTCTTTCCTCTTTTGTGAGTTGTGTCGGGGTGGGCTTGAGAGTGGAATTCTACAGATGCTGAATCCCCTTCACCTGCTGGTATTCCTTCTGTACCCAGTGTGCTGTTTGTGCCCAGTGGTCTGCATCAAAAGGCTGGACCAGTCCTAAACATTTTTTGCACAAATTTATGAAATAAAAATGCCACACCTAAAAAAGGACCCTCTCTCACATTCTGTACAACTGTAATTAAAAGTAGTGAATAGCAGCTACTCTATAAATATTCCAGAATATGTCATTCTTGTTTTAAGAGATAAGAGTTCAGGTTTACTTACTATTCTGCCTATTGATTTTTAAACCTTTGGTGCACTGATCATTGGGTTTGAGCTGGAAAGGAGGAAATAGTTGGGTCTTAGAGTTATAGCTGCAAGAAAATAGCCTCTTAGGTAAAAAAAAAAAAAAATCATTCTATTTGTGAGAATAGAAAGTATGGATGCATTTCTGTAGAGCAAGGAGAAATTCTCCAACAGGAATAGGGAACACCAACAGGTTTCTCCTCCCCCCCCCCTTTCTTTTCTTTTGCCTCAATGTAAGGGGGAGATTGTTAGTTGAGGGAGGGAAGAAGGAAGGAAGGAAGGAAGGAAGGAAGGAAGGAAGGAAGGAAGGAAG